CTGCCTTATCATAACATAACGTCAAATTTCTTTGTAGTTGGGGAACATTTCACAAAAATTTGCAGTCATTTGAGGTGAAATATTTGTTTTCAAACATTTAAAAAAATTTAATTTAAAAACTTAAATTTTCGTTGTTTGGTTAAGGAAACATTTTGGAGAAGTAGAAAACTTTTTTGAAAATTATCATTGGAAAGAGTGTGATTACCCAAACAATTTGCTAAGAAATGTGGCTGAGTCATCATGTTCAACTGCTTTTAAACTAGTCCTTGACATTGACATCTTTCCCAGCGCCAATCTCCACAAAGCGTTCGGTGAAATGATTGAAAAACATCCCTTATACATCAGTCAAGCGCAAAAATTAGCTTATATAGTACCTGTATTTGAAACAGAGTCACCAGAGGAACTTCTTTCTATAAAGTCTAAAGTAATAAATATATTATTCCCTTGTCATTCATAAAAATTTTAATTATATGAAATGATTTTCCAGGAAAGGCTATTAAGATCAGTAAGGTTGAACAGGACCCGACAATTTTATGTAGCGGTTTGTGCAAAATGTCAACGTGCTACAAACTACAAGAAATGGTTGGAGTTGAAAGTTAGCTCAGATTTGAAAGGAGCATATGAAATAATATGGGAACCATCATACGAACCATTTTATATCCTACCGAGTACCGCTCCTTCTTATGATGAGAGGTTCAGTCAGTATGGATTTAACAGAGTTAGTCATGTTAGTAAATGTTTAGCATATTTCATTTTTGAATTATAATGTTATCCCTTACTTTCGATTTATTTTTTATAAGCAATTTGTTTTGGCAAATGAAGTTGTTTGGTGACATACAAATAAGATAAATTTTAACAAATGTTCATTTAACAAAACACAATTAGACAAAAAATTGATTTATTTAGGCATGTGAACTTCACGTAAGTGGATACAGATTTATCGTACTGAACAATGCATTCCTTGTACATGACACATTCAAACTTCAAACTTCTTTTCATTCTGACAAACGTGACGACGAGCTCATAAACAGAGTAAAATACCAAAAGTTTAAAGAAGATTTATTGCAAAAGTATTCTACCTCTTTAAAATATTGTTGATTATTTTTATTTGTTATAGAAGATTTTTAAACTTTATTTTACAAAATGTTAATCGTGAGATGAAAAATATATAAACTATGAAGGTGTTGTGTATCTTTGCAGTTGATAGTAAGAAGTCTCATCAAATTTTGTGAATTCGTTCAACGTGTTTTTTGAGGTGGGCAAGTCGGACAAAATTTTTGTCACACTTGCTGCATTTAAAAGGCCTTAAACCAGAATGAACTTTCAGATGAGCATAGAGACCAGAAGAGTGAGCAAACAGCTTGTTACAATGCTGGCACGTGTAAGGTTTCTCGCCTGTATGACGTCGCATGTGTATCTTGTAAGAAGTCGGGTCCACAAAGTCTTGACTGCAGTGCGTGCACTTGTATGGACGTTCGCCTGTGTGTCGCTTCCTGTGACTCTTCATGTTTGACTTGTAGGCAAACGTCTTGCTGCAGACCTCACACTTGTAGGGCTTCTCGCCAGTATGGGTACGCAGGTGCATCTTCAGCGTGTCCGACGTTTTGAAGCCGTGGCCGCAGCAGTTGCAGATGTAAGGTCGTTCACCCGTGTGCTTCCTCATGTGTTTTGTAAGTGTACCCCGATCGAATGTCTTCATGTCGCAATGTTCGCACTGGTAGGGATTGCTGCCCGAGTGTTTTAAGTAATGTTGTTTCAAAGATTCCTTGTTGCGATATGTAAGGTGACACTGATCGCATTTAAATGGACGTTCCCCCGTGTGACTGAGCAGATGGCGCTGAAGAGCTGCACTCTTGTTGTACCTGGGTGTCGTGTGGAGAAGTTGAAGTTTAATGCAGTTCTGTTTCTCGAAAATTTTTCATTCAAATAAAACAGCAAATTCTACAATCAATGAAAATACTTAAGAGGTGTGTATAGAAACATTTTCACCGTAAAAAATTGTTCGTTCATGCTATGGCACGTTCAAAGGAATATAATAGAATAATGATTTTTTAATTAGGCTTTAGATGTTTCCCAATTATAATTTACAAAAGAGTGGGTAGTTTGAAAGCAACAAGTCACATATGTAATCACTTTAAAGAGAATTTATAAATTGTTTTATACCTATTTGGACACATATCACATGCATATGGTTGGTCTGAGCTGTGAGTTGACAAGTGCTGAATCAATTTACTTTTTTGGAAGAATTCTTTGTGAGAAAAATAATTTTAAAGTTGTTAGCAATATTATATTTAAAAAATACAAGTCTAAAAATTAAATTTTGAGATGCTTAATGTAAGTGTGCAACGAAAATCATAACAAATTTTTTTGTTTAAAATGTATCAGTAATATTATCCAGACCCTTATCACATATGGAGCAGACAAGTGAACTCTTGTGATTTTTTTTATGTGCTTCTTCGAATGGTTCTTTTGTTGGACTTGTTAAATTTAGAGAGGAACTCTCGTCTTCGTCAACCAAGTTGTTAATGCCCTGTTTAAATGTAAGCATGTTGGCCACAACTGACATAATACATCTTAAACTACTAACAAAAAATCATGAGCGAATCTTATTTATACAAATAAAAAATACTTATATAAGTGTATGACTTCGAAGGTTCTCACATTAATAACAGACATTTCAATGCTGCTGCAGATGTCATCGTCATCATCGTGGGTGCTTTCATGGTTTTTTAGGGCTGTCAGACATTTGAAAACTTTGCCACAAAGAGCACACCTGGAGACTTCTGAAAACAAATAAGTAGCTTTACCATTAAAAAATAAATTCAATGAACTGAAAAATGCAAGATGAAATGTTAGTCTAAATGAGATTTTAAATAAAAAAAATCACTTTTGTTATCAGTAATAGAGGAAGCACGAGTATTGCTAAGTTCCACCTTAACAGATGAATCACTGGAACTGTTAGCAATCAAATCGTTGCGTAATGGTGTTGTTATAATGTCAGATTTCGTGACAAGTTCGTTACCGTTAACCCAGATGTTGTGCAGTTTGTTCAATAGGACCACTCTGTGGAGGCAATTTAATTGAGACACAGAATTTTCAAGGCCTTTATGAACCTGCTCGACTTCATCAAAGCCCTCAGAACTGTTACTTTTAGCTGAATATATAATCAGAAATTTGTATTATATTACTATAATACATTTATCAAAACACTGCATTGAAAATGAATAAATTATAGGAAAATTCAATTTAACAGAGATTAAGTGTGTGTCTGTATGTCTGTATGTGCGCGCGTGATATCTTATTAAACATTGATAAGATGTTGTCATAAAATCCTCATTAATTTTCAATACCTAATATAACACACTGATCAAATAAGTAGATGCATATGTTTATGAGTGTCGATAAATAATTTCTTGCTTAACAATTAATAGTTTGGTTTAAGAATTATATTGGCAAAGATTAACTTTCTCAACTACCTTATCATTTACATAATAAAAATGGTTGGATATTGGTTTGGGATAGGGTTTTATAAATATAATTGTATTCTATTGTAACATGGGTTTGTAAAGTGTGCTTGCTGAGAATCATCTTCAGAGGTGCCAATGGTGCTTCATTTTGTTCAATCAATCGAATGATCAATTTATTTTTAAAGTGCTGTTTCTGAGTGTTCAACAGCAGACAGATGGATCTTCAGATCTGCTTTGAACTTTGTGAGTGATCAATCAATCAATCTTCGTTTACCGTCCAGACCCAGTTTCCCGAGGTAGGACGTTGTTTTCTTTGCCATCAACTTTTAGCACCAAATTAGATGATCAGTTGTATCCATTTCATTTAAATTTAGAGCTTTCATGTCTTGCTTGATTGTTTGCGACCAGGACTTCATTTGGACGGCCTTTGGGACGTGTGCCGGGTACTTCAACATCTGCAAGAGAAGTTATGGCACTGTTCCCACTTCGTTTGACATGACCAAACCACTTCAGACGGTGTTGCCAGCATTCGTCCTTTATATCACCTAAACCAGCACGATGCATGGTTTTGCTGATGTTGACTTTGAATCCATGATCGGCCAGTCTGGTGTTCCAATCTTCAAACATCTGTGCTGCATTCTGATCAGACGTGGCTGTTAAAATGATATCCAAGAGAAAAAGATATAGAGTAAAAAGAGTAAAACAACTGAAAATGAATTCCAAATCCTGGCTGATTTGTATAAGTATGCATTGGTCATTTATAAGCACCCAACTATAATTGAACTCAAAAGCACTATTTGAAAAGCTGACTAGTGAAAAAAAGACGTTTCAGTTTCCTTCTAAACTTTTCCATTACGCCATCAGGCAATCTATTCCAAACTTCTGCTGCAGCAACAGAAACAATGTCATTTCTAGTTAGTTTCTGTTCTTAATTTTGAAACAACAATTTTTTTTGTTCACAAGCAACTGAAGAAACAGGCATGACTAGTTGTAAGGTTTGAGGCCATACGCCATCAATCAATCAATCCCACACCAACATTAGAACTCAGTATTCTATTCAGTGACAGAATGGTAACCAGTAAAACTTATTTTGATTGAATAGTATACATTTTGAAATAGATAATAGATTTGTATTTTGACAAACCAGCCGTTATCCTGGCCACAGGTTTTAAAATAAGCTACTGTACTTAATATTGAAAATACAAGCTGGTACCATACAAAACAGTATTATATTAGTCTATTCAGCCACACACAAATTTGTGTCAAACAAGATCAAACATTCATTTATGAAATATTTTTTACACATATAATTTGGCAAAGTTGAAAAGGACAATTGGCAAAGGTTCTTGATTGAATGTTCAATAAGAAAATTCAGAGACCATGATTTCTTACCAGCTCTAAGCGACCTTGTATACCAGATGAATTTTTGTATAAGTAATTACAAATGCATTGTGTCTTCTCAATATTTAACTTTGAAGCATTTACTGACATCCATTTTGAGACTGGTCCTAGTTCAGGTTTACCTTCAACATTACAGTAGATGTATAACTGTTGTACATGTATCATTTGCCCGAATGAGACATTTCAAACTTGTTGATTCAACGAACCCTACAATAGTACAATATCTGCCTTGTAGAGAACATGGAGCAGGGGTCTTAGGGTTGACCCCAGCAGTTTGGAAGTATCTGTGCCTAAGCCACTATCACATACTGTATGTGTATCTGTATAGTGTATACTTGTATAGGCAACATAAAACACATAAATGTAAAACAAACATTTAAAAATCTGTCCGTAATCCTAAAAGATGCTTAGGCTAGTATGCAAGTACATGGCATGTTTAAGAAAAGTTAGCAGTTGCAATTTTACAGTTAACAGAAGAAACAAGACGAAATGCTGGTATTTATTTAATATATGCCATGGTATTTAATATTTATTTAATACCTGGCAACAGGTAAACTGGTGAAAAGACAGGTTCAGGCAGTAATAATTTATCATACTGTATTATTTATTTTAACTAATGCAACACTATTAAATGAAAATATAATAAGAATATTTTATTTTATCAGTTCTTATTTTATAAAATTAAATAAAGTATATTATACAAAAAAATATCATTCATCAATCATCATCATCGTGAATGATTATGATAATTTTTATGCTAAAAACATGAACATGATTGATGAATTTTGAATTGAAATCCAATCATTTATTTTTTATTCATTTATTAGAGTAAAAGTAAAAAGATTGATTGAAAAATGAAATACCATACCTTCAACTTCATATGGTTCCATCTTGGTTTTCATAGTACAATCGCTCCGCCGTCTCTAATCTAATGTTTTGTTTTTTAGTTAAACTGACGCAACGAGCGATTTTACTTTTTTGTTAACCTTTTTCAAAACCACTTTTTAGTAGTGGTTAGTCCCAACAACAAAAACTCACCAGTGTTGCGGTTATAAGTATTCGTTTGGTACTCGATAAGCGTGATCCATTTTCGATTTCTGTAATCAAATAATCGTACAAATACAAACTCATTCATATTCATAGGTACGTTGTGCACGTATTATCGATATAGTCATTACAGCTATATTCAGATTTTTTTAATTTCTAGCTTTTCCATATTCTAGAAACAACATCAAAGTTACTCAATGTAGTTTTAATTTATTTGCTTTTGCGATTGTCATGTTTATTAATTAATGGCAAACAAAAATATAGGCTAATGATCAATCAATCAATCAATCAATCAGTCAATTAGATTTAAAAAGGCCATTTTTGCAATGTTCACAGCGCTCCTCAATGAACTTCACAAACAGATGTGTCTTGAGATCCGCTCTGAACAAGAGTTTTAGAATATAGTAAAATATAATGGTTGGAAATATCCTTACATAACTTTTTTTGAATTGTAAGTAAAGTTAAATTTTTTAAAATATTAATAATAATTAATGAATAGTTACCAATAATTCATAAATAATTGATGAATAATTACCAATTATTCTAGTTGATTTGTGCTATAAAATTTAAAAAGGAAAATTATGTCTGGTTTTTTGCATGCTAAGTTAATGTTAAAAAATTATAAAAAGCATTTTATCCATGCTACTAAGCCTTTTTGTTTGAATTTTCAGGAAATGACTGAGTTGTTAAAACAAAATGTTTTGGCTTCTATGCATTTTACCGGCTGCTTAATGTTGTTGTATATTGTTATTTTTTTTATAGATTTTAAATCAGCTACTGTATGCAATAATTTATATTGTAAATAATATATTGTATAGATATAAAAAATACTACGTAATTTTTTATTATCTTTGGTTGCACTGAATTAATTGTTTGATTTTTCTTGAAAAAACTACCGATCGTATATCTATAATTTTTTATATCTATGGTTGTACATTCCATTTCTTCAAAGAGCTCAATCGGCGATTAGTCTCACAAGATTTATCATTTTATTTTGTTTTTATTTACATTTTAATTCTTTCTTAGTCGTATTTTCGTTTTATGATTACGTTTACATAAAAAAGAGATTAGAAATAATTATTAAAAATGAATGTTGGGGACGTTAAACCAGCGACGGACGAGGACTTCAAACGGTTGAGACAATTAGTTGACCACTCAGATGATTGGCACCTGGCTTATGGCAAGAGTCCCATCTTTGTGTGGACAAAGAGCAACAACATCTCATCTTTCAACATTATTAAGGTTTGTTGGTTGGTTGGTTGTTGTTTCACTGGGCTACTACTCATCATTCCTCTCTCATCTTGTTGCTGGAAGTTTTTTTGTTTGTTATCAATGTATTTTTTTGTGAATTCATTAACTGGTCTTGTGATCATATTTATTACAAACAGAATTCATCGTCTCTCTTCTATCGCTAGTCTAGTTTCTAGTTTTTTGGCTTATAACAAAATAAATCTTTCTATCTAATCTACTGAACCAACCAGAGTGTTGAGTTGGAGTCAGAGATTTTGTCAAAGTCAGAATTTTTTGAGAGTCCGGAGTCAGATTTTTTAGGGGTCAGATTTTTTTATTTGACTTCGGAAAATGTTATTTATTTTTATAAAAAATTTGTATTTCTTTTCTTGAAATTTTTTCTTGGACTGTGTTTTTTAGATGATAAATATGTGTAGTAAATAAGCAATCATCTTAAGCAATCAAGACAAAAACAAAGTAATTTTACTAAGAAAAACAATTACATTGACTGATTTCATATGTTTTTTCAAGTATTTTTCATTTCACAGTAATACTAAACTAAGGTGAAATTATGATGCTAATTACCATTTAGCAGAAAATATAATATATGAAGACCATATAGAGTATTAACAGGTTGTAGAGAATAACTTGAGGAAAATTTTCATAATTACATAGTAATATTTCTGAGAAATTAAACTTCTTGGTTGGATCAAATTTCTAAATTTTTTTCATGTTCTTTAAACATCTTTTAAAAAACAATTTTCCATTGACAATTTTTTCAAAATCCTGTAAATTATTTCATTCTTAAACGTTTTTATCATCAAGCTTAATGAATGGCCAGTTGAGACTTTTGTAACGTTATATGGGGGGAGATTTGGTTAAGAAGTGTTACTGGAGATTGAAGAAGTTTTTGAGATTTGTTACATATTATTGATTATTTTTTATTTTTATTATTTTATTATAATTATTTTTTAAATTTAGTTTTATTAAATCTACCTTTTCATTTTGAATGGAAATTAGTGAAAAATGTGATTTTTAACTATTTTTTTGAGAAAAAAAAACTAATGCAAGAAAACTTGAAAAGTGTTTTGTGAAGTAACAAGGGAGGGGGGTTGTTTAAATCACTATGGAGGAAACGTTACAGAAGTAGGGAGGGATTATGGTTAGGATTACCTAACATTCAGAAGACGTTGGTTATTGTGAAGCTCCTGTGTTCCCAAGTTTTGATAAACTTTTTATATTTGTGCAAGTTTCTTTCGTTAAATAAATTATAATGTAAGTGGGTTCAGACTCATTTTGTGTGGAGATGAGTTTGTAGATAGTGAGATGACATTTGTATGTTGGAGTGAATATTCATGATGTGGTGTTACAAAAATGTATAGCATTGTTATAGCATAATGTACATCAGTACGTTTAAGCAGGGTATTTTTTTTCAAGTTTGAAATTTCAAAAAGAAATGTAACAATCTGACAACTTTTAAAGCAGTGTATTGTGGTGCATACAGCTCGTCTCCTCTCAAAAGTTTAAAAATTGTAAAAGTGATAAATGCATGTTTTGTGTTACAAAACGTTGATTGAACAACGCAGATAAGATCAGAGTACAGTGATGTGAGCTGCAACACATTGTACGACGTCCTCCACGACCCCAACTACCGCAAAGTTTGGGACCCAACCATCATCGAGGGCAGGGAGATCTGTAGGCTTGATGCCAACAACGACATCGGATATTATGCCAGTTAGTTCCAACTTTTTCTGGTCTCGTACATTATTCGTTCATCTTTCTTTCATGACAAAATGTATTTTTTCAATTCTATATCATCATGTTATTGGTTGCTTTCATTAATTGCAGATCTTAAATTGTAATTTTGATGACTGTGTGCGTGTTGTTGGGTAGATTGGATAGTGGCTGTTCCAACTGTAGCATTAATGTCAAATGAACATTCCACACATTGTTGGGAATCATTCTGTTTTAAAATCTTGCTAACCTCTAACCTTTACTTCTACTACCAATTAATATTGCTATTGTTGTTACTGCGATGTTATTACCATCATTGTCACCGCTTGTGCTGCTGTTGCTATGGTTGCTACTGCTACTGCTGCTGCTGCATGTTCTGCTGTAAAGACTTGACTTATGAATTGGATTGCAGTGCTCTCAAGTAGATTTTTATGCATTGTTAGCTATCTACACTCAACTGATTTTTTCATCACATGCCTTCTTAACATTATTCATTCATTCATTCATTCATTCATTCATTCATTCATTCATTCATTCACTCATTCATTCATACATACATTCATTTATTCATTCATATATTTATTTATCTGTTGTATATTCACAAATCACTCAAAGGTTTCACCTGTATTTATATCTTCACAGCACCAACATAACTAGCTGCTCATAGAGAACCTTCACACAAATTTTAACTTTGAAACACTTGCAGTGCAGCTGCCGAAGCCTCTAGCGAATCGTGATTTTGTGACGTTGAGATCCTGGCAAGACCTCGGGAGTGAGAAGTTGATCGTCAACCATTCTGTCAATCATGCGGTTAGTGCTCACCAACTTCTTTCAAGTTTAAACTATCTTCACTTAGGCTGTTGTTTTTCAAATCATGCTCATTTTGTATGCTGCTCTAAAATCATTTTGCCGTCTTGCTACAATGTGTCGCTCAAACATTAAAAGTGTTGGGGTGTGGTGTCTTGTGTTATTATTGCATCCTGACATATATGGGATGATGTCGATGCAGAACTGGATCGCTGTAGTATGCCATGCATGATGTGCATGCATGCACATATTGTGAATGAGTGGCGTAGGTGTTTCGGGTTTAGAAATGCAAAAAGTTCAATCCAAAATTAAATAAACAGCCTTGTATTCATTTGTCTGAGCTGTACAATGAAGAACAAAACAAAATGAACTGTGGATGGTCAAATGATTTTCACATTTGTTTAATAAACATTCAGTGCTTTTTAACAACTAACTCTGTTTTTTAAATAGCCTCGTTAATCTCACTAATTGAATTTGTTGTCTATATAAATCATGTTACTGACACCAGTGCTGATAACATGAGTGTTGTGAATGACACGATGATGATTTAACTCAACAACTATCTAACAAACAAACAAACAAATAAACAAACAATCAAACAGACTCATCAAATAAACAAATAAATAAATGAATGAATGAATGAATGAATGAATGCCCCTTTCAGTCAGCACCAGTGAGCAAGTTGTACGTGCGTGGTGTCTCCTACATAACAGGGTACCTCATCAGATCAACATCAGGTGACCCTAACCTACCCGGATGCACCATCAATTACGTCACTCAATCAGATCCTAAAGGTTGGTTCGTCTGTTCATCTGTTTGTTTGTTTGGTTGTTTGTTCACATCTCTCTGTTTTAATTTGTTTATCCATTTGTTTGTTTGTTTGTTTCTGTTCGTATGTTTGTATCTCTTCATTTATTCATTAGTCAGTTTATTCGTCTCTAGACTGTTTTGTTTACTCTTTTCATTGGGTTATTTGTGTTATATGAATACACTAGGGAACAAATTCAAACTTTATGTCTGCTACTTCGGCAAAATTATGTCAGACACATCAAATTTTTTACACTGATTTTGAATATGTAATTAAAAAACTTATATCACATACTCATTGGTGAATCCTACCAAAATCTTTCTTCCACTTCTTCACATAAAACTAGGACCGTTTAAACACTTTGTCAAGGCACTGTTTACTGATTCTAGCGGATTTATGTTTCTCAATGAAAAATTCAAGACCGTTCTTACATACGCAAAGATATCTGCAGGGTTTTTTAACAGACCACAGATACCTAAAGTAATTCGCGATCCTAATTTGAAAATGAAACTACAGCCAGTAGAGTTAATGGCTTGGGAGGTGTTTTTGTCAGTGGTTCAGAATTTTTGTAGGAAATCACAGGTCCGAAAACTACGCACAATCGCTAGAAAACCTTATAGTGGCATACAAAAGCATGGCTTGTAGATGTAGAATGTCTCTCCTGTCAATCTAGGAGCTGTTAGTGACGAACAGAGGGAAAGATTCCACCAAGAAATTTTGTTGGGGAACACTGTTATTTGGGTCGCTTTGATAGCAACATTTCTGTTGGTTTCTACAGCCTGAAAGTGACGTTGGATATAAGCGCAAGACATCTTCATTGGAGAAAATACTTTCAAATCATAGTTGTCTAATTAGTTTAATTAAAACATCTACTATTTAATAATTATATTTGACTAAAACAATCATTATATGTCTCTTTCTTTTTAAATGATGGCTTTAAATATTTAAGCTATACAAGGCTAAACTTGGCTTTATAATTTATAATTTTTTTTAGCTATAACATTAAAACTTGAAGTCATATGATTAAAAAAGTGACGAATTTGTAATCAGCACACCTGAGTCACTCTAGAACATCTAAAAAGCCTGTGTAGTAAAATGCTTGTTCCCTCCTGATATGAATATACTCAGTTTAAATGAGCAACATTATCTGAGATTTAGATTAAAAACATTTCCCACTTCTCTCTCAACATGAATAATGTCTGCCTCAAGTGCTAAGTTTATTATATTACAAACTTGTGATTGTTTATTATTATTATTATTATTATTATTATTATTTTATTATTATTGTTATTGAAGTAATTGTTTAGTCTATTTCTCATGACTTGTGAAGTTGAAGATGCTGGCTGATAATTTCGTTCATATTAGCAGCCAACAGCAGTATTAAGCATTCTGTTTGAGGTGTTTATGAGAATCATAAAATCAAATGCAATAACAACAACAGCAATATAAAATAACATTCAATAACTTTCAAATACACATTGGCACATTAGAAATACATAGAACAAAATGTTATACGCAACATGTACAGAACTGCAGAATACACATCATTCACAAATGTGCACATAGAACAATCACAGTGCAATGCAATAAACACTCAACAAACACACACTACACACACACACTACACACACACACACTATACGCACATACACACTACACACACACACACTGCACGCACATACACACACACACACACTGCAAAACGACCACAGGTCACCTTCCGTCATGGGTGGTCAACCAGGCAACTCAATGGCTTGCTCCAAAGGTTTGCACATTTGTTTGTCGTTCATCTATTTTTCTTATTTTATTCATCGTAATCATCACCATCAGTTCATTATCATCGTCATAAGTTCTTCATCATCGTCGTCGTCACTGTCTTCAATTCATTATCACCATATCATCATCATTGTTGTATTCATCAGTCAACCATCACCAGTTTATCATGAACATCATTAGTTGATTGTCATGTGAATGTTCGGGGTAATTAAGTTTTTTAGTTGGCATATCAAGTTATATTTATGTTATTTCGTGTTAATTTATTTTGATTTATGTTAATTTATATTCGCTGAAATGAGTAGAACTGAACCTCACACGTTTGATTTGGTGTGTCATTCAGTTTGAATGCATTTCATAAAGAAAGACCATCAAATGAGAGTCAGTTTGTGCATCGAGTTGAGACCATGAGTTTATCTGCAGGGACGTCACGACTGATAGATCTCATTGAATTTCGATTTGATGATCTGATTAAAAAATGATGATATGGTACAAGCCTCATTGTGTTGCGTGTTCACATGAACTGTTCTCGAAGTTTCACGTTTGTGCTCAGCCAGCGGAAATATTAAAATACCAGTATTTGTCAGATCAGTGAACACGTTGCACGCACGCACAAACACCGCATCGTACGCTCAAAAGTTTCATTAGCAAATAGTAATCGAAACCATGTCATCACGCATTAGTGACGAAGACGACGCGAGACTTGACTAGTGCACGAGAACTTTGAGTCATTATTCAAGTAGTATTGTTGTGACAGTTCAATCGTTCTAATGAAAAGACACAAGTGCTGATGCTTTTAAAAAATACGACCAATAAGTAAAAATATATCATTTAGGCCAGCGTATGTTTACCCACATATGAACGAAATACGATCTAAAGCCAAGATCTAAAAACCATCCAATTGATGTCGCTGCACTAATTATTTTGATAAATTAATGAAAGAGAGATAATTGAGACGTTATTAAGATGGGCGTCTGTTTGATGTGGTCGTGTGTGACTTTGTTGCGTTGCGCGTTTCTCTGCGATTCTTGATAGCACACACACACATGCATGTAGGTGTTCAATATTTCTGGCCAATATGTATTCGTGAATATTTATAAAAAAAAGTTTAGAATTGCTTAAAATATATTTTTTTTTAATTCAAGAAATGTTTACTAAAACTCAGTTATCACCGACACCGATGCAATTAAAGTACTGTTATGTCGGTGATGCTCCGATGTCTCGGTAATTTACCGATGCCGATGTATCGGTTGCTTCCTCGGATCAACAAAATAAAATTCATAAGCATTTGGTGCTCTTCAACAATGCTGTATTTTAAGTAGCACTGACTTATAAAACTGATTTGTTTGACAATCCGTCACTAAATTTGCCTCGTTGAAATAAACCAAAACTGCAAACATGTTGGAAAAGCAACGATAATTTCATTTTTTTTTTAAATTTTATCTACCTGTATAGATTTTGCCTGCGGTTATATCAATTTGGGATTTTTCCAATGCAAATTTTTTTAAATTCTGTTTAACTAGGTTGGATACAGATTTTTTGATTCTTTTGAAAAAAACCTACAATCATTCCATCACAAACAACCAGGTGGTGTACAAGCTGCACAAAGCAAGCATCAACTACAACGCCTGGAAGAAGGAGCACTCGCCTTCTCACAAGCCCTGGTTGTTCCCCCACCAGAGCAGTCTGCCCCACATCAAGAGCAAGGACATTTTGATACTGAACGGTGACGACGTCGACAGGGCCACTGATGACAACGATGACGAGTTCAACGCCAAAGAAGAAGATGTCACCATGGATGGCATGATAAGACAATAATGGATGGATGGATGGTGGTGAATGACTGAATGACACATCGATTAGATTTTTTTATCAACTTTGCTGTGTGTGGTCATCATGTGTGAATCCATGCTTGCTTGTGTGTGTGTGTGTGTATGATTATGTTTGTGTGTACTGCTGGAGTGGTCACATGCCTCAGGCTGGATGTGTGATTCGCGTGGAGGCATTATTAAACTTCATTTTATTTGATGTGAAAGAGCAAAGTACACACAAACAAAGCAACATAACTGAGCTTTAAAATTGACCACATCCGCGTTATGAACTTTTCATTGGCATCCACATCACCGAGATGCTATTTTTGTGTTTGATATTTTATTTCATTTTTGAACTTGAACAAGTTATGTTTCTTTGCCATAATCGATAAGTTTGTTTTAAGTTATTATGAAAGTGGTTGGGGAGATCGGTTGTTGTTTATTTTGTTGTTGCTGAATTGTATGTGACTGGTTGTTGTAGGTGGTGGTGGATCGTGTTACTTTGTGATTGGTTGTAAGTGGATTGAGGCACGTTGTCGTCGGTTGTTAGTGGCGATGGATTGTAGCACGTTATGGTTGAGATGGTTGTTGGTGGTAGTGGATTGTGGCATGTTGTCGTTGCAGTGAATGAGTCAGTTAAATGACGGCATATGAATTCATTCAACAAAACATGCATTAAGCAACCTGCATAACGTCTAGTATACTTAGAGTACGGAATTGAAATTAAGTGTCGGTTTATAATGTTGAATTGAAAGACTAAACAATTCTTTAGAGGTGCGGGTCGGTAGGTACCTGCTCATATTTGATTTTGCGTTTGAAAGTTTGGACATTTCCCACGTTTTGATGGTTACTCGCTGCTTGTTAATGCTTACAATCTGTGATGTGTGGTGGAGTTTTCTCTTTCATCTATTTTAATTTTTATACCATTTAAAACTTTTTATTTGCTCGTATTTTAGTGATAATGAAATAATTTTTAAGAATTCATTAATGATTCCGATCTTGCATTCATTCATCCACGCCATCTCTGAATTATTTACTACTGCTGGATCACCATCGCATATGTGTGCGATGAGATGCTGATGAGACTATGCGTACCATAGCATAAAATTCAATTTATCGTAACTGTTATAACATTTTGGCAGAGCTCATCATGATTTGATTAATTTTTTTCTTTATTTGTTTAATTATTTATATATTTAATGAATTAGTCCGTTAGGCACATTGTACTTGTAGTCACTCACGCTGCGACCAACGCAAACCACGTTATTGAAATTAACATGCACCATCATGATCAGCCTAGATCAGCCTAGATCACCCACCACATCGTAGTCCAAGTTATTTATTTATTTCATCGATCGTTCATCATTCGTGCACGGAACATTTTGAGGAGGCACGCAGCAGTGTAAATTATAGAAGTGTTTTTACGAACTTTAAAACTTTGATACAGTGTTTGTGTGTTCGTTCCGTATCCTAACATGTGACCTATTTTAACAGACGCTTTTATTTTTAATACTTTCAACGAGTTCAGACAAACTTTGATATTATATTTTAATTCTAATTCGTTCAAACGAAAACTTTTTTTATCGAGAATAAAATATTCACAACGTCGTAACTGCAATTTGTTCAATGGAGTAGATTGAAATAATTACTGCGATGTGGCCACGAGAGGGTTGGACATCCTGAAGATGGACGGCATCATTGTGCTGAAGTTGTTGAAGGCTTCGTCTGACAGTGTCTGCATGGTGCGGTGTTTGTTTTGTACGATATGAATGTAGGTGAACTTGTGGGGTGTGTTTGTGACGTGGTGTATGCCAAATGTTGGGTGGGTTGGGACGTGGAGTGTTATGTGTGGTATTGTGTGCGCTGTGATGTGGAGTATATTGTATATTGTGGAGTGTGTTGGTCTGTTAGGGTGTTGAGTAACGCGGTTGGTTCGCCCATGAGATATGTTGATAATGATTAACCATTATGTTAATGACCTCTTAATCGGTTTATCTTTTACGCACTACCTATTAATACATTGTAATACTACAATGTAATACTACAATGTAATATTAACAACAACAACACACGTTTAGACGGCATTTTCCCCGAGATCGGGGGTTGCCGTTTGGCTACCTATGATGAAACCGAAATACCCCTCGACGCCATCCACATCTGTCACTCGCCTCAGTATCACGCAACCCCGCTTTCACCCTGTCCTTCTCCACCTGCTCTCTCCATCCCAATCGCGGACGACCCCTTCCTACCACTCCTTCAACCTCGAACTCCAACGCTCGCCTAATCCCGACCCTTTCATCCCTTCTCAACACATGTCCATACCACCGCAATCTCGATCTCCTTATCAATGTCACAATGTCCTCATTCAGTCCCATCATTGACATCAGCTCTGTACTACTCCTCCTATCCTTCACTTTAACCCCACACATCATCCTCACCATAGCTCTTTCAGCCCTCTGCAGTACACTTTCCTCCTCTCTCCTCAACACCCAAGTTTCACCACCATATACCATCGCTGCTCTCACACATGCTTTATATACCCTCCCTTTCATCTTCACTGACCATTTCTTTCCACACAATACCCCACCCAGTTCCCTAAATTTCATCCATCCCACACGAACTCTAGCCGTAACTGCGCTCAAACATCCTCCATCCGCATTCAGCTTATCTCCTAAGTAAACAAAGCTTTCCACTCTTTCAATACCACCACTCAACCCCGTCCTTGCGCCCGTCCTATTAATCGCACCATGAACACATTTCTTACATTTGAACGTGCCTTCCACCTTTTTCAGTGCCCCCCTCAAACCCCTACATCTCTTATGCACCCATTTCTGACATCCTATACACAACACCGAGTTAGCCTTCACTCTCCTGTCACATACCCCACAGGGGTCTATTTTACTTATCACTCGCTCCCCACCTTCCCCACTCACCATTACCTTCGTCTTACCAATATTAACTTTTAACCCTTTCTTTTCAATAACACTTTTCCATCTGTCAAATTTTAACTGCAATTCTTCCATGCTATCAGCCATCAAGACTAAATCATCTGCATACAAAATCTCAAATAACAACCCCTCCATTATGTTTCCACACACAACATCCATCACAATTGCAAACAGAAACGGTGATAACACTGATCCTTGATGCACTCCTACCTTAACACTAAAAGCGTCCGACATCCCCCTTCCAACCCTCACCTTTGTCTTTGCCCATTCATACAGCTGCAATGTAACAATGTAACAACTACAATGTAATATTACATTGTAATATTTAAAAAAAATAAGATCCAATGAAGTCAGTGATTCGATAAATCGTGAACAGAAAACACTACGTATTATGGAGTCTGCGGATATCAGAAAATATTTGTAAGTACATTACAAGACAAGAAGTAGTGTTAAGTAGCATCGAACCTCGGGAATGAGGAACTGAATGTTGAACGACTCTTCAAAGTGACAGACCGACATCTCCATGATGAAACCTTTGATACACTTGAACACAAGCTCTGCCCTCCTCAAACACCAGGCTATCGTCATCTCCTGTAGGTTCAAGTTTTGAAACGTTAGACTGGTCTGTGCCAGTAAAACTAAAAAGTATTTTGCAAAACGCGTGCATAAAAAACTTTCAATATCTAAAATAAAAAAAGGGATACACAAATTAAGAAGACCGGGGAGACAGAAGCGAAATCTGGAAAGATTTAAACGCGCGCATTCAGTAAGAGAGTACGAACCCACCTCGGTCATCTCATGCACCAACAACAACGGCAGCGTGATGGTTTTGATGTCGCTGTTGAATGCCGTCTTGATGATGTTCCTGTAGGCAAGGATCACTGGATGTCTGGAAGAAACTTCAGCGTGCAAGCTGTCGTCAGTGGCCACATGGAAGACCACATGGACCTCAGACAAGTTGGAATGTCGAGTGATGTACAAGTCGCCAACGTTCAAACGAGGCTGGCGGGCTGACGGCGAAGTCTGTCGAAGATGCACGTGTGCTTCATTAGGCTAGAAAATTAATTCTTTATAAGTAAGGATCAAATTAAATTATTGATATGATAACAAAATATAACATTTAATGTGTTTGCAATTATTGTGTCTATAAAAATAGTTTTCTGATGTAAAATTGTTAAACGGATATTTATTGAACATTAAAATGCACGCAACATCCACACTGATAGTGTTCGAGTCGAAATTGTTGCCGAAAAGTTGTACGTGCTAATAATTGTTGGATCGAATGGAAGCAGTTTCTGTTTTTAAAAAACATTTATACCACAACAGTTTAAAGATTTATTACTTTTTCGTTTAAACTCCTTTCAATTTACAATGGCCATTTGATCAGTGATATCAATATATGTAAATAATGCAGATCGCGCCTCATTAGCTCAAGCATTGACAACGATCCTACTAAATATAAATACATGGTTATAAATGGTTAAGGAGACAGACAGCCTGCAGAGGAGCATGTGGAGGATCGTTGTGACCGGCTTGCACTGCTGTCTGGATGCTTTCCAACTGCTCACTCAGGTCTGGAAAGTGGAAGTCTGTGGTCTGTTGGCACACCTCAGCGAAGGCTGAATAAATTTGTCGTTTAAGTCATCCATTTCGTTCATTAAAAAGCAATTATATGACTAAGGACAATGAAATAATTGTATATTAGTCATTCAAACAGAATGAGTGGACGATATCTTTGAAGGAAGTTTACAGATATCCAATCTTTGAAGGAAGTTTACAGGTGGGATGAAGGATCGAGGTAATGAGACGATCATGAAGGATCACGAACATGTTATATAGGAGATGATGATGCAGGGAATTATGATGGTGGAAGAGGTGATGATGATGCAGGAGATGATGATAATGATGGAGTGGATGACGATGATGAAAATAAAGGAGGTGCCGATGTAAGATGAATGACAAGTTGTGGCCGATGACGAAGACGTAATGAAACAAAGTAACGTTACTGACCTTTCTTGACACCAGAGTGACTGTTGATTCTGTTATCGACTAGGAGGACGAGACCACACAACTTGTTGGAGTACAGGGAGATGGCTGTTTGGAGTCGCTGCCCTGTACTGTGATCGAATGAGGTCGCATCTCTACATATTCAAGACGCTTATTTACATTTATAAAATTTTAAATAATAAATAAATTAATTAAAAATTAATTTAATTAGTTAATAAACAAAGAAGTTGCTAAACAGAAGTCTTCTGCATTACTCAGAGACATCAGCTTCGATACAAGAGCAAGGTGAATGAATACGTGATTGACTACCGCATATAACGCATAATATATCTTGGCATTTGAACTAGGTTACTGCAAAACAAGAACAGGCACTTTTAACAATTACGCTGTAACGTCGTCCTCACAAAATCACAAACCATTCAATGAACCTACTTACAAGGCATCAGACAACTGCAGTCGACACATATCAAGCACGTGACAACTGACGAGTCGCAAGTTGTGGCTGGTCTTCATCTGGGCACCTTGGTTGAAGAACGTGAGGTAAAGGTCATGTGTGGAAAAATGTGAGGTGAATGTCATGTGTGGAGAGATGTGAGGTGAAGGTCATATGTAGAGAGATGTGAGGTGGACGTCACGTGTGGAGAGATGTTGGTAAGAGGTGGTTTGGAAATCAACTGTATCAAGCTGTCAAGTATAAAACGTAAAAAATTAAATGTTCTTCGTGCTCATTCTTTTAACACTCTAGTACAATTCAATTACATAATAATTCGTCTGAAATCAAGTTTTTGACTACTTTTCTATTCACGGATTTTTATGGAATACAACAAACCCACTCAAGTTGCAAACTAACAAAGAAGAACCAAAACAAAGCTATAAACAGATATAGAAGTGGGACAATTAGATGTTGTTGAAAGTGTTTATTTCCTTAATTATGATATTAAGATTACTGTTTTCATTTTTAAAAATTAAGTGCATGGTTTTTTATTATGCCAGCTTTTCAAGAGATTCACAAAGATAGCCTATCAATGCTAAAACGCCGTAAAACTGCAGATGATATGGAAGCAAAACAACGCCATTTAATTCTGGTTTCCTTAATTGGATGATTGCTAATTATTACGCAAGATCTAATGAGGAAAATTTTTCGACTCTAAAAGTAGCGATAGCGATTTTATTTTTGTTTTGAAAGTAGCACTGCTAGCATTATTGCTACTGCTCATGGCATGTGGCGGCACTACCGCTACTGAAAACTCTGACGCCGCTACTACCAACAACCCTGCTTGCTATCCACACCGGTTTTATTTCGTTGTTAATTGTTGCTATATTCTGGTTTATCAGATTTTGGATTTCCGGTAACAACCCGTTAATAGTAAAAATCCGGAAGCCAAATAATTTAATGACCAAAATGAAAAAATATTTTCTTGCACAGGCCACAAAGCCGCGTTAATATCAGTAATTCTTTTTTGATTATGTTCTAGTTTTGAGAACAAAGATCGTATGTCAATCAAACCATATATATTAATATCAGGAGGAGGCCTGTCACGCACTACGATCTCAAGTCTACGTGACTTTATGACACCAGAATTAAGATACTAAATATTCAGAAATATTCTGCAAAGGAATGAAATAAATCAATTGTAAAATAATCAAAATGAATTAAAATAAAAAAAATCAACAAATATTTATTAATAAACTAGTTTGTCATTTAATATCAATTCAGGGTTAAACATCAAGTTAGATTATCTTAGTTTAATAAGAAATGTAATGAAGTTTAAAGTTTATAAAATTTTATTTAATCTGCAAAAAAATGTTGAGTAATCTTTCTCCATTCTCATCCCTTTTCAGTGTGTAGTTAGCGAATGTTTTACATCGGAATACATAGCGTCGTTTGCAGGTGGGGCATGATTCATTCCTCGCCTCTAGCCAGTCTCGAAGACAAACATCATGAGTCGCATGTTTGCATTCCATCATGTATACGAATGATTTTGTACAAAATTTCTCCAAACACAGGCTGCACGTATCATTAAGGAATTTATCCTTCACAAATGGCAGAAAGAAGAGTCTGTTTCTTTTCATGATACGCGAATGATAATCCTTGACAGTGATTTTTACTCTAATTTCGTAATTGTTCAATATCTGGTTTTTCGCGAGCCATTGTTCTCCTGGCATGCTGAAGTAATATAGCTCGGTCAATTTGTACATCAATGAATACTGCTCTTCCTTGCTTAGCATTTCATCAAATTGACGGTTCCATTCGCGTATATTCACCAAAGTTTCCAGTTCATAATTTTTGAGTAACTTAGCAAGGTACTCTATTTCTTCAGATCCAAACCCGTAACGATCATTCTTCAATTCTAACTGATTTTTGTACCACTCAAATCCCACAATTTTTCGTCGTTTTCCAAGTTCAGATATGTAATGAGTGGCAATTTTCTTTCCTAATTGCTCAACAACTTCTTCATCTGTCAAAGTTTCCAATCGGTGGATAAGTTGGAATGGAATGAGCAAAACAGCGTTGAAATTTAAAGACATGTTCATCTCTTCTCAGATGCGCACCTATATTGCATATCTCATTAAATGTGCCTGCCTATATATACAATATGCTCGATGAGCATAAAACAGGACCATAGAGTATGAACATAGACCAAAAACCGATCGTAAATTTAACAATATGTTTTACAATCAAATATATCCATAAACAAAGAAAACGCTGTAATAAATATCTAACAAAATACAGTAATTTTGTTGGATTTTAATTTTAAATTAATAATAAAAAGACCAACACATAGTGGTCCTTTTAGAGCCAATAAATTGGGAACGCAATACATTATAGATGGTTAAGGATTAACGAAAAAAAATTTCTTTATAAATAATAATGAATAAAGGAGTAGTTAAAAACTTCGTGTTCTATGTGAATGGGTTAGAAGACAATGATAAAATTACGGTACGAAATATTGAAAAACTGAATCATAAACTAATCAAAGCTGAAAATGCAATAATATTTATTTCTTAATTGTAAATAAAAGTAAATTTTTAATTGTTTAATAATGAAATATTTTTGAACAATTTTGTGCAATTAATAAACACTGGGTATGACATAAAACTGCATCCACGCTGCCTTGCGAGCTTTTGAGCAAAAGGCTAGGCCCACCGCTATAACTGGTGGTTGTCGTCAGGATGGGTGTCCGGATGTAAAAACTTTCCCCAAATTACTCTTATGCCATCACAAAGGAAAACAACGGCCCCTAGTCCCCAGCAGGCCTTAAGTGGTCAAGGGGTGCCTGGTCCCTGGGAAGTATGCAATAGCAGAGGGATGTTGCAGAAAAATTCAGAATGGCCCATCTATGGTACTTAAACTTGGAACGCTCAATGTTGGATCACTGACTGGCCGCAGCATGGAAATCGCAGAAATGACTCCTTGTGGCAGACCTGGTTGTCGAACTGTCAAAACATGAGTCTAACCAAATGCCTCGGAAAATCAAAACGTGGAAGCTGAAAAGCAATATTCATCGAGAAAAATTTCAACAGATTGTCGCCACACAGTTAGACCACCAATCGCAAGCCAGTACAGATTGGAGTACATACAAAACAGTTTTGATAAACGCTGCAACTACAGTTTGTGGGAAAACTGGTACAAAACGTCAGTGTACAAAAATGACAGTGTACAAAATGCAATAGCTGAAAATAAAGATGCATACAAGCAATGGCAAAAATCAAAGTCTGTTGATGACCATAAACTTTTCCGTGAGAAGAACAACTATGCAAGACCTCAAGTTGCACTGGCTCGGACAGATCAGTGCAGAGAGTGGCTCACTAAAAACAAAAGTGAACAAATGAAATCTCTGTATCGTATAGCAAAACAAGCAAAGCGTACGAAAAAAGACATAGTTGGTGCCTCATGTATCAAAAATGACAAAAATGAGATGGTTCTTGAACAAGATGAGATCAAGCTACAGTGGAGAGAATACTTCAACCGTCTGTTAAACTAAACAAATCCCATCAATGTTAACTTTGACGCTCCACCCATCGAAGGTCAGATTCCAGACATCACTATAGAGGAGCTTACAAAAGCTCTGAAAGCTATGAAAGATGGAAAGGCAGCAGGGCTCTCTGGACTCATAAATGACATTATCAAAGCATCTGGTACTGCAGGTATCCAAACGTTACTACAACTTTGCCGTGAAATCTGGAGAAATTGCTCAATGCCGACTAAATGGAACTATAGCATGACAGTCCTGCTATACAAAGGAAAAGGTGATCCATTGAACTGTTCATCATATCGGGGTATCCGTCTGTTAGAACACTCCCTGAAAAATTGTCGAGAAAATCATTGAGAGAAGATTAACGTCGTGCATCACAATCGGAAATTATCAATTTGGTTTCCTAGCGGAAAAATCAACAATTGATGCAATTCACATCCTTCGGCAACTGCAAGAGAAGTACCTCGCAAAGCATCAACAACTATCACACATTTTTGTAGACCTTGAAAAAGCATTTGATCAAGTTCCCCGTGAAGCAATCAGGTGGAGTCTCAACAACTATCACACATTTTTGTAGACCTTGAAAAAGCATTTGATCGAGTTCCCCGTGAAGCAATCAGGTGGAGTCTACGTGGACAACTCATTCCAAAATATCTTGTTCGACTTGTGATGGAAATGACTCTCGTCGGCACAACGGTTGGAAACACAGATGCATTTGACATCGGCGTTGGAGTTCACCAAGGCTCGATTCTCGGTCCACTGTTATTTATAACTGTGATAGAAAAAATCACAAAGCCGATACGCACTGGTGACATTTGGAATCTAATATATGCTGATGATATCGTTTTAACAGCCACGTCTGAGCAGAATGCAGCACAGGTGTTTGAAGATTGGAACACCAGACTCGCCGATCATGGATTCAAAGTCAACATCAGCAAAACCAAAGCAATGAACACTGGTGAACCCATCCAATCTATAGCTACTGAACGATGGCCATGTTCAGTTTGTAAAGTTGGTGTAGGTAACAATTCAATCAAGTGTCAGCAGTGTAACCAGTGGTGTCACAAACGTTGTTCAAAAATAATTGGTACTTTATATGAAGTTTCCAATTTTGCTAGTCCTGCTTGCATCAATCCACAACAACAAATACGAAATAGCAATGTTTTTGAAGCCATTAAAGTAGAGAAAGTCACATCGTTTCAATATCTAGGAGATGTTCTGGGTTATACTGGAACAGCTGAAGCTACCGTTCGAGCACGCATACGTGCAGCCTGGAATAAATGGCATTTCCTTGCCTCTATATTGATACGGCGTGACATCCCACTACCACTACGATCAAGACTTTATAAATCTGTGATACGTCCGGTGTTATTATATGGTGCAGTAACATGCCCAATGACAACCAAACTGGAACAACTTCACCGAACCGATATGAAAATGCTCCGACGGATGCAACTAATTAGTCTGAAGGACCACATCAAATCTACCAAAATACTGCGTCGTGCTGGTTTAGATGATATAAAGGAAGAATGCCGGCAACACCGTCTGCAGTGGTTTGGTCATGTCAAACGAAGTGGAAACAGTGCCATAATTTCTCTTGCAGATGTTGAAGTACCTGGCACACGTCCCAAAGGCCGTCCAAAGAAGTCCTGATCGCAAACAATCGAGCAAGTCATGAAAGCTCTAAATTTAAATGAAATGGATACAACTGATCGCCTAATTTAACGCAAAAATTGATGGCAAAGAAAACAACGTCCTACCTTGGGAGAACTGGGTCTCTGGACACTAAACGATGATTGATTGATTGAATTATATAATAATTCGTCTGAAAACAAACCGTTACAGCTTGTGATGTTCAACATTTAAAATCAACTTTTTTATTTGAAACCGAACTTGAACAATAAGTTTAAATGAAACAAGATCACCCAGTCTAAACTCTTTAACCAAAAAGTTTGTACATTAATCGATTTTAATTACTGAAAAATTATTTAAAAAAGAAATGAATAGTGACCAAGGTTGACGGTGAAGCAATCTTCCCTCCTGGTTTGCACGCCCCTTTTGTTGTTGACAGGACCCGATGCTGATGAGGTGCCAGGAAGTGGAGAGAACAGGTAACTGGCTGTCAGACTGTGCTTCATGCTTTCAGTAGTTTAAAAATTGTTAAAATGTTTAAAATTATTTTAATAAATAGAAGAACTATTATTTTTAATAAGACAAAAGCCAAAAAAAAACGAAATAAAACAGATTACATATATATTACCAAAAATATTACATATATATTACATAACCAAAACAAAATCAACCAAAAAAACTAATTTGTAGGAAACAACATGCAATCAATCAATTAATCAATCGTCGTTTAAACGTCCGTTGTTCCCTTGCGGAGGTTGGACAGGCAGCCTGTGTCGCCAGCTCGTTCTGTTCAAAGCATCTGCTGCATCCAGTCCAGCAGTTTTCAGGTTGCTTTAATGGTTGTTAGCCATGTTGTCTTCGGATGCCCCTTTGGCCGTTTCCCAACGACATCGAGTTATTATTGCTGTATTCTCGCTCCGTTTTACGTGACCGAACGAGCGCAGCCGATGTTTTTGCAAAGCTTCACTTATTGATTCAAGCCCACTACGAAGCAATATCTTAGCAGATTCAATATGGTCGACCAGTATCCATCGCAAGATTTTCATGTCGGTTCTGTGTAGTTGCTGTTCAAGGCTTTTGGTCATAGGCCACGTTTCTGCCTTATAAAGCAGTACGGGTCTTATCACGAATATTTTGTACATTTTGTTGGCAGCTGCAGAGGGATGTCACGTCCAGTGAATATAGAAGCAAGGAGTCGCCATTTACTCCAGGCGGAGCGGACACAAGCACAAACTTCTGCTTCGGCTGTTCAAGTAGTACTAATGATGTCCCCCAGATATTGAAATGTTGTCACATTGCTTTACAGGCTGGCTATGATTCTGACAGATTGGGCAAATGAAGTTTCCTGCTATAGAAGACAATGCTCCAGTTATTTTCGAGCACCTTTTATGACACCATTTTTACTATGATGGCACAAAATCGAGTTGCCGGGTAGGAGCGCTTTGTGCAGTTCCCTAGCAATCAGCGCTTTTTGTCTTTTCTAAGTTCACTTTGAGTCCGTGTTTGGCCAAAAGTCGACTCCAAACCTCAAATTTTTCTGCTGTCTCTTCTTCTGATGTAGCCGTCGGTACTATATCATAAGTATACGTGATCTCCCATATGTCGTTCGTGCGTATTGATATAGTTATTTCTTCCATCAAAAATGGGCTGAGGATTGATCCTTGGCGTACGTCAACGCCGATCTCGAATTTACACGTGTTTCCTGTAGGTGTGCTGATTATCGTCGTTGTGTGTTCATAGGTAGCCATTACAACATATACCAAATGCTCCGGAACAGCCCAGCCTAATGCCTCACGTGGGATGCGATTAAAGGTTTTTTCTATGTCCAAGAAAACATGAAATTTTTCGTCACTTAACGTGATTACACTGGCCAATGAATATCAAGCAGCAATTACGCTGGCTTATGAATATCAAGCAGCAACCACACTGGTTAACAAATATCACATAGCAGTTAGCAGTGCTCGCACAGACTTACAGACGTCAGGCAGCAAAAACCAAAAAATGCACATTAATAAATATTGATACCAACCAACCTGTCAACACTATTAGAAGCAGCATTATCAGCAGATTTTTCGATGAGCAGCAATTCGTGCAATTTCATAACCTGGTCCCTGTACTCCCTCCTCTGCTTGTCCTTCACAGTCGAAAGAGCACTTGACCACTTGCTCGATTCCATCTTCAAACATTTTAACGTCATCAAATCCGACATGCTTTGTTTGATGTTGTCATATATTGAATGTTTTGATGATGTGAATGTTTTGTTGAGAAATATGTTGAATGTGTTTGTTTGTTGTTGGTTTGCATGTTATTTCCTACATATTAGTTTTGGTTATGTAATATAACAAACGTGTTTTAAAGAGCCATTTTTATCATAAACAGCAACGAACTAATTATGATCACTGAAATATCATCATCATCATCATCACTTAAATAAATAATTTAACAATCACAAAATTCAGAAACTTTTGACATCGGAAACTTACTTCTGACACTTCGATGTGTTTCTTTGCAAGCTGGTTGACCTGGTTGTCAGTGAAGTTGGTGCCGATGTTCCTCACTGCCTCCTCCATCTCTTGCCGACACCTGACCAGTTCCATGGAAAAATTCAAATATTTTGCTTAAATGCAGACTGCGAAACGAATTAAAACGTTAACGTTACGAAGAATCAGTTATAATTACAACAACATACGTGGAAACCACAACAACAACAACAACAGCAACATTGAACAGCTGCTCTAAGATTGTTGTTTCCATTCGAGGTCCATTGAAACCATAAATTCCCAGTTGCGCCACAGGGAGGCTAGAAACTGTGCAACAGCGGTGGAGGTTTGATAACAATGATCAAAAGTAATATCAAGTTTACGGTGCCTATAGCCCAATGTGGGACAGCAGACAAATGCAGGGCCATCAAGGAGAGGAAGTGGAAGAGTGGGCAAATATAGTAGAATAGGAATGCCTAAACAAGAATCATGGTATTCAAGAATCAAGAAAACTGTATCTACACCAGATGTGACGTTGGTGAGCCAAACTATAGCAAATAAGATCCATTGGAGGTGTCGTCAGATCACATGGGACAGGCCAACACCAAGAGAAACCTTCTTTAACCAAGTCCTATATAAATATAAAAAGGCAAACTGGGACGGCTTTTGTGAGGTAATAAGAAGGAGAATAAGAAATAAATTCGACAAAAAAGACAATGTCAACATAAATACAAAGATGATGACAGACATTTGTTTGAAGGCAGCAGGATTTAATATTCCCAGGGCAAAAGCATATCAACTCAGGATTACACGGATGAATGATGAAATAAAATCAGCAATGAGAGAGAGATTGGGAGAACTCACGGAAGGCCAATGGAAGCGATACTTGGAAGACTAGATGGCCTATGAGCAACTACTACAACTACTACTACTACTACTACTACTACTACTACTACTACTACTACTACTACAGCAACACAAAAATAACACAACAACTAACTGCAGTTCCACCCTAGCAATGGCATCACCTCGTTGTTTGAAGAACGAAGACAAGATGATTGCATATTCGTGCTCCAACTTGAGGAGCGTCGATATGAAATGCGAGTGGATGAGTGCATGGTACACGTCGGAGAAGATGGATTCGTTCGTCAGTGGCTCCATCTTGCTGAACTTTTGGTACTTCTGTGTATGAACAAGTTAACAAAAACTAGACATTTCAAACATAACATTTAATTAAATTTAAAATGTCCTTTTACAAATTACTTGTGAATGAATCGAAAATAAATTCAAAAAAGTAAAAAAGACTGACGACGACAACGATGATGACGCAACCTGTTCATAAAAGGATTCACATTTTTCCACAACCTCCTCAACATCTCCAGCAAAATTACGGATTAATTCATCATCAAAGTCATCCTGCTCCTGCAGCTGTCGGTTGATCTTGAAGTCGGAAAGTTCCTTACACAACCCTACAAACGTAATTTATAGCAAAACAAATGCACATTGAGTTTCTAGCTGAAATAAAGCTTACATTCAAAATTTATTTAATTAACATGACAGATGTAAAAATGATGTATAAAATATAAAACATTGATGGAATGGAGAGGTTAGAAAATGAAAGTACGATACTTTGGAAGACATGTGGCGGCAGGTTGTGTGACTTGATGATTCTTCGAGCCAACTCCTTGATTGGCTCATGTAGGGAAAAATCTGTTGAAAAAATTATAAGTAACTAATCTAAAAAGTTTGGTACACCAAAATAGCAATATTGCCAAGGGGTACGAAAAAAACTTTAAAAAAAACAAAAAATATTTTAAGAAAGCTATTTTGTACAAAATCACATGAAACAGGATTATAGTGACAGTCAGCAGAGTAAAGTATTTAACAATATTAAATACTAAATATTTTATATAGCAGATTATAGATAGAATATTGTGAAGTTTTTTTAGCGCGCATGTGAAATGAATGGCGTAAGTGTGTATGTTGGCGCGCATGTTGTGGTCAGGTGGGCAGTCTGGTCGAATGTCGTATGAATTGGTTTTGTATGCAGGTTGGTTGAATGTTGGACGGCGCATATATGGTGAGTATGGTTGAGAATGAATGTTTCTCAGTTTGTTTAGAATTTGTTTGGTATATAAACCTTTTGGACAGTTGTTGAAAAAAAGGAAAGTTAGTGTTATAATTTGGTTGTTTGGAATAGCGTTGTGAATTAGTCTTTGGTTTTATCGTGGTTGTATTGGTCGGACGGTTGTTTCTTGTTTTGGGATTTCATTTGTTACGGCTGGTAAAAATATTTTTTTTCGTTTATTTAGAACATTTAATTTAGTTGACTTTAGAAACATTTGCTTTAAAGAGTATTATTTTGTTTGCTTTACAGAATATTATTTTGTTTCTTTTATTTTTGGTTCATTAATAGAATTATTTCAGTTAGGATTGGTTTGTCACTTTTAAAAACTAAAACATGTTTGAAGACTTGCTAGCTGTTAATAGGGCCGGATTAACCGACCAGCAAGCAGGGCGCGATAATACTTCCGGCCGGCCCGTATTTTCCGACCCGGAAATAAAAAGTTGTGAAGAGGTGAGTCCCGGCCAGAAGCAAGACTGCCTAGGCTGGCGGCGGCGGCTGTTGATATTCGAGCAAAGGAAAAATTTCGCCGCGCGGCAAAAGTTCACAATATTATTCCGACTTCTAAGGCTATTAACGTCAAAACGAAATGAGAATTCGCAAAATCTCATGTCCTATTTGCCAGGGCTATTTTAATTTATTATAATTATGCATTCAGCGGATGGCAGAAGCTCACACTATAAACTTGTAAAGTTTAAACTTAATAGTTTACGGCCATACTTTACAAGTTGTTATCTGCTGAATGCATGTTAAAATAGAATTAAACGTTAATTTTTTGTTATTTTTTCTTTGTTTTGCTATTCTTTGTTGTCATAGTTTTGTCATTGCACAAAAATAAATTAATGAACCTCATATTTTATCTTAATTATTAATAAATACAATTTAATTTAAAATATCGGAATTAATTATAAAAACATTTACTAAAATTTCTTAGATAAAGTTAAAGTTAAACAATGGATAAATGGCTCAAACAACAACCATTAAAACAAAAGCATTGCAACTGAGCCGATGCTCAGCGCAGATGTCCATGCAGATTCAGACTCGGATGATGACAATCAAAAACTGCGGAAGATTAGGCGATATGATGAGAAGCATTTGTCTCTTGGATTTTCGTGGTGTGGTGAAGAAAAAGAACCAAAGCCACAGTGTGTCGTATGTAATGAAAAATTACCAAATCACTTGATGAAACCTTTATTACTTCAACGTCACTTTAATACAAAACATGCTCTTCTCAAAGATAAGCCACTAGAATTTTTCAAAAATAAAAGAAGTTGAATTGAAACATTGTAGGAGCACCTTAAAATCATTCACAGGAGCTAACGCTAACTCACAAGCTTTAGAGGCGTCTTATTTGGTAAGTCTGAGAATTGCTTAAACTGGAAAACCACACACTATTGGGGAGATTCTTATATTGCCTGCAGCTAAAGATATTGTGTCATCCATTCTTGGAAAAAATGCTGCCAATAAACTTAATGTCGTTCCATTGTCCGATAATACAGTTTCTCGAAGAATTCATGATTTAGCATCAGCAGGCCCGGTTCTTCCATTAGGCAAACTAGGCAGCTGCCTAGGGCCGCCGAATTTAGGGGCCGCCAATTTTGCAAAATAACTTAAATAAGCATCAAAAATTATTTATGGAAATTTAAAAAAAAATGAAACAACGTCGTTTTATAAATATTTTTAATAATTCTTCAGCTTATTCGATAGATGGCAGTATTGTATTTTAGACTGTAGTTAACTTTTAATCATTCGTTTTTACGGAAGTATATATAAACATGTGTTCATTTTAATCTAGACCAGGCTACCATTTTCAAATTTTATAATTTTTTATTTCCTTATTTTTAATGAATAATTAAAATTTAAAATTTGATTTAACCATGTCAGCTATAAAAGGAAGTAAAAACGATTCTGGTGCTGAAAAACGAAAACGGAAAAAAGCTCAAGAAGAACGATTAGAATCACAAAAAGGTTCTATTTTTAAATATTTAAAGCAGGATGATTTAGCAGTAATAGATGATGCCGAAGCCACTCAGATGGAAGAGAAAACCGAAAGTATGGAAATTGGTCAGATGATTGCATTAGATCATATTCCCAATATTTCATCTAATTTAACAAGTACAAAAGAACAAGAACCAGTTGAGGACAATGAAATTGAAATTACTGCAAAAGAGGAAATTGAATCATTTCAGGATGATAACATTGAAACTGTTGATTGGAGTGATATTGGTTGTTGGCCAATAAATATTGAAAACTCTCAACAACGTGATTTTCTGGTTAAAAAAGGACCTATGAGAATTATTGATCACATTTTTCCATTAACAAATAATAGGCGTTTTTCAGCAATACATTACAAGAGAAAACTTTCGAATTGTGAAACAATTGACAGGCGATGGTTAATTTATTCGATTCATACAGACAAAGCATTTTGCTTTTGTTGTAAATTATTTTCAAATTCTGTGAATGTATTTTCAAGGGGTGGTTATAATGATTGGAAAAATTTTACAGCTATGGTAAGTAGTCATGAAACATCTTCTAGTCACATAAACTCTCAAAAAAACTGGATTGAATTGGAAAACCGACTAAATTCAAATCAGATGATTGACCTACAAACACAAAAAGTATTAAATTCTGAGAAACTGCGTTGGCGTGGCGTACTTGAACGACTTATCGAAATAATCCAATTTTTGGCTCAAAGAAATTTGGCATTTCGAGGAACTGATGAAAAATTGAACACACGAAATAATGGGAACTTCTTAGGATTAGTTCAATTGATAGCCAAGTTTGATCCTGTTCTACTCGAACATTGTCGTCGAATTAACAATAACGAGACTAATGAACATTATTTAGGCAAAACCATACAAAATGAATTAATACAATTAATTAGTAGCAAAATTTTGAAAGAAATAATGCTTAGGATTACAAACTCAAAATACTACTCAATCATATTGGATTGCACACCAGATATCAGCCATCAAGAACAAATGACAGTAATACTTCGATTCGTCGAAATAAAAGACAACACTGTTAATATCGTTGAACGTTTTGTAGTATTTTTGCAAGTTCAAGAAAGTACTGGAATAGGATTAACAGAAGCTATACTACAAAAACTCAGTGATTTAGGATTATCAATTTCTGATTGTCGTGGCCAAGGATATGACAATGGTGCAAATATGAAAGGTTGCAACAAAGGAGTTCAGGCCAGAATTTTAGAAATTAATAAAAGAGCTTTCTTTGTACCATGTGGTTGTCACAGCCTAAACTTGTTGCTTTCAGATATGGCTAAGTCATCTGTAGTCGCAAAAGAATTTTTTGGAATTGTTCAGCAAATTTACGTTTTGTTTTCTGCATCAGTTCAAAGATGGCAAATACTAAAAAATCATGTAAAAAATCTTACAGTTAAACCATTATCTGATACTAGATGGAAATGTAAAGTGGACAGTGTTAAAGCAATTCGTTATCAAATAGGTGATATCTATGATGCATTGGTTGAAATTTCTGAAACCACAAATGATCCAAAATGTCGGACGGAAGCCATTTCTCTTACAAAAGCAATTCGAAATTTTACTTTTTTAGTTACTTTGTGTGTTTGGTATGACATTTTATCACAAGTGAATGTATTAAGCAAAATCATGCAAAGTGATAAAATGGAAATAGACAATTGTTTAAAATTATTAAAAAAAGTAAATAAGTTTCTTGTAGAATTCAAAGAAATCGGTTTCCATGGTTCAAAAATAGCAGCAAAAGAATTAGCAGAAGAATTAGAAATGTCTATAGAAGAAACCATGTTTCATCCAGCTGTGTCGATTCGAAGAAAACGAACCAAAAAATATTTTTCTTATGAAGCTGAAGATGAGTCAATACATGATCCAGAAGAAAAATTTAGAATCGGTTTTTTTAACGTATTGATGGATCAAGCAATAATGTCTTTAAACGATCGTTTTGAACAGTTGACAAATTATCAATCATCTTTTGGTTTTTTATTTAATATTTCGGACTTAAAATATTGCTCTGATGAAAATCTGCGAGAGCACTGCAA